AGTATTAAGGCCCCTTGCTCCTAGTAGTAAGGCCAGGAGCCCCTAGTAGCATCCTTCTCCTAGTAGTAAGGCCAGGAGCCCCTAGTAGCAGCATCCTTGCTCCTAGTAGTAAGGCCAGGAGCCCCTATATAGTAGCGTCCTTGCTCCTAGTAGTAAGGCCAGGAGGCCCCTAGTAGCAGCATCCTTGCTCCTAGTAGTAAGGCCAGGAGCCCCTAGTAGCAGCATCCTTGCTCCTAGTAGTAAGGCCAGGAGCCCCTAGTAGCGTCCTTGCTCCTAGTAGTACGGCCAGGAGCCCCTAGTAGCAGCATCCTTGCTCCTAGTAGTAAGGCCAGGAGCCCTTCTTAGCAGCATCCTTGCTCCTAGTAGTAAGGCCAGGAGCCCCTAGTAGCGTCCTTGCTCCTAGTAGTAAGGCCAGGAGGCCCCTAGTAGCGTCCTTGCTCCTAGTAGTAAGGCCAGGAACCCCTAGTAGCGTCCTTGCTCCTAGTAGTAACGCAGTAGCGTCCTTGCTCCTTACCGAGCATCTTCGCGCCAGGAACTGCTCCTTGCAGATTCCTATTCAATATCTGGAGGAAGAAGTCCGTTCGGCTCCCATGAAGCCCGTCGACGTCGAATCCGATCGCAGGAGTATGTGGACGAATGGCCCACCAATGACGAGGCACATGATAAAGCCCTCAAAGCCCTGATGCTTGGCGATTGGTACCAAGATGTATTGGAAGATGAAGCGAAGGTTGTAGATTTGTTCGCTCGGAACTGAAGCGCTCTCTTTGTCAGTAATGATGTTGGGCTGGAGCAATCTCTAGGAGCCATTCGTCTATGTTAGAGCCTAGATGCGATAGATGAGATCAAATGAAATACCAAGGGTTTGCTTCGAACGAGCACACGCTGGCCTTGTTTGTTTTCCAGATTTCCTGACATCCAAGGATCCTTACCAAGTACCTGCAAGCTCCGGGAAACATGGTGGAGGCTGTGTGAACCGGGCTGGAAGCACAAGGTTTTACCAGAATTTGCCCCAAGAGCTGTGCAAGTGCACAGGTCAAGACTAGCTGGAAAGACGTCAAACTGTGCTTTTGGACTGTTTGAAGGCATCAGAAGGTTTTTTTTGTCGAGCCAGCGCCCATGCTGCCCATGTCATTGATTTCATGTTTCAATTTCCCATGTCGTCAGGTTGAACTTTTGGACGAGTATATGGTTTCACTCGCCAGAACCATGGAGGGCAAGAATGCCATCTTCTGGAAAGTGGTGACCAAAACCCAAGAGGAGATCGAGTTCGCTTCTGGCGGACAGCCTGGAGAGCTTGTGTCCGTCCCCATGCCTCACCACTTTCCGTTACTCATCGTCCCCAAGGAGGCCAGGCCAGCGCCGCATGTCCATGCATATCCCAAGTGCATTGGCTCCGTAAGTGTGCTGGTTGCGTCAATTGCAGGACTTTTCTTTGGTGGAGTTGGAAAAGGTGTCGAAATATAAGGATTCACACCTTCATCTATTCCTTCTTCCTCATCTCTCACCACTTTGGAGATTTGGAGACACCCAAAAGCTTGCAGACTTTGGCTGGCTTGAAGGACTTTGCGCTAACATGTGGACATGACACCGAAAATGGGGACTGGGTTGTTCGGCTTCGGTTGATCTTATATCCACGATGATGATCGATCAGGTCTCGGACGGCCTTGACCAAGAACGTATACGTCTTGTTGGAACGACCCTCTTTTGCCCGATCATATAGGTATCGTATCGATGTCACACTTGAGAAGTGTGCTAGGATGGATCTGACGCAAAAAGCATCACGCCGGCTAACGCAGCCTCCCAGCAATTGATGAATTTTTTTTAAGTCTGCCACGGAAAGTAACTAAGTAAGTCCTCCAAAGAGGGTACCTGCTTCCTCGGATGTTTTGAAGTAGTCATCAAACACAAGAAGCACAGTTCTGCCCCTGGTTTGAATTGGTTCCCAAGGTCACCGCGGGCTGACTTTGTGAGAGCAGCGGTTAGTTTCGTGTCTAATGTCACAAACACTTTTCTGGGTCTTGGAGCTTTGCCCACAGATGAGCACGACTCAAAGTTCCATGATCCACTTCCACACTTCATCTGGTTTGTTTGATGAGGGCGTGACCTAACAAGCTCTCTTACCAGATTCCTCCATTGACGGTAGTAAGTCTCTGGTGTTGGCATGTCAGGGACAGCCATGGTGCGCATGCTTCTTTGACCCTTGGCTTTCCCTCATCATCCTTTTTGGATTTCAGCTCTTTGAGCAACTCGGCCAAGCCGCTATAGAGAGCATCAGCGTCACCCGAAACAGCATTGCCAGCCGCCTGCTCCATCACCTGCATTCGAAGCCTCTTCATCTAGGTTCTCACAAACAGTTCGTCTCGGTCCGCGCCATGCTCGCCAACCGCGGGGGTTCTCCACCTCGCGGCCAGCGGGCTCCAACTGCACCGGCGCAGTAGGCTGATGCGGCTCTGTATCTCAACGGGGAATTCACTCATCAAGCTGTCCTTGTAGCAGTTCATTCGTCTCCGCTGCCTTTTGCAGCTCTGCTTCCAGTGTGGCTTTTGTTCTTGCCACTCGGTCTCCATCTCTTGGTGTTGTCTTCCTTCTTCATCTTCTTCTACCAGCAAGCCACGAGCTTCATCCGAGGCGTCGTCAATCATCTTGTCGAAGATCTGCCTCTTCTCGTTCATCTTGACTTGGTTGTTCTGGTGAGTTGAAGGTAGGCTGTCACTCCTCCTGATCCCATCACTACGGGCATAAGGTCGTCCCCCGGCGTTCGGTGGTTGAGCGCTGGTGTATGGTCTCATCGCGAGTGCAGCTGACACACCATCATCTGTGGCCATGGCAGAGGCTACGGCTGATAACCGGTATTTTCAGGCTCAGCCACTGAAAACTAGTCAATGACCGTTGAGCTATGCAACCTACCGGGCGCACTTTTATATCCTCTGAGCTGCAATGCTGCGGTGAGAATTGGCTCCACGCTCAAAACATGAGGAAGAAGTAGTCACCGAAGCGCAAGTTTTTGCACTTTCCGAAGAATCTATATTGCCGAACCTGGAAGAGAGCAAGGATGCTACCGCCTTTTGCCAGGTCCAAAGGTGGTCAAGCAAGGTTTTATACTGCTCGCTTCGGATGTGTTGATCAAAGCAAACAGCCCATGTTGAGGATGGGTTGAAGGGCGAGGAAGTTGCAGTAGTCATCAGTTTCGAGATGTTTACCCTAGCCAGTCATGCTTTGCAGAAGTTTGCGTGTTTGCCATCAATCATATTGTCAATGGGAAAGATGAAGTCCACTGACCACACTCGTGAACCGAAAGCTGCCACGAGGAACTAGGCTACAGACTTAAAGCAAATCGTTCGTTGAACTTTCATATACTTCGCATCCAGAACAGACTGTCCTGGCGTACTTGGGTCATGGCCGCCTTCAGTGGTGTGCCTTCATGGGGTGAACAGGAAGCCACATCCTTCCACAACCGTACCATTCATCCAGGTTCTGTTTCAAGGCAGATGAAACTGAGGAAATCAAAGCTGGATTCTGCTTCTTGAAAGCTGTAATTAGATGTAATTATATAGGCGATAAGGTGGCAGAATGTCAGCGCAAAACCATAAGGGCCCAGAGAAGGCAGCATTGCCCATTGCCCTTTTTCAGCCGTCAATGCTGAGCCGCCTTGATTCATTGTATTGCATTCGATTCATTCAAACTATTTCGACATATTTAGACCACCGGAAAGTTCCATGGCATGAGGCTGCATCCCATTCATGTCATTGTGCCACCTTGTGCCAGGCAAGAGATGAACTGCCAGTCGCACCGGCCACACTTACATGAACCTGCTTGGATTCTGCCTCACAGATGCTTTGATGCCAGGCGCGGCTGGCAAAGTTTGAGCACGCATGGAATACTATGTATGGACGCGCTTAACTACGCATGATTTGGCTGTTGGCCACCCGTGCCATGCCTCATGTTTCAAATCGGTTCTGAGTTCGGACCAGAGTCCTCGAACTCCAAATGTGTGGTGAAAAAGGGCTGTAGAATGCTGTGCATGTCGACTCTGCGTTTGTGCCAGGAATGTCGTATGCGGTTTGTGTGTGCATGGATGTCTGGGTGTGTGTTTGTAGGGTTGACATGTTTCTTTGTTGGTGTATGTGTGTGTTGGGTTGTGCTGGACAAGCTTCTTTTGTAGCCCAGGCGCGATCTTGGGCAGGGCCGCATGCAGCGCATGGAACATGGGATTAGACTAACATGTCAAGCTTTTACGAATCAGTTTTGGATGTTTTGTTATGGGTCACATTCCCATCAACTCTCATGGTCTTTTCATGTAAATGGGTTCTGTCTCCTGCCGGGATGTAGACACTTGAGTGAAACAGTGGGCTGGTCTATTGGCTTCATATCTTCCATGGGTCATAGCTATTGTTCTATGTTATTGTTTTGTTAACTCAGGAACCTGACCATTTGGAAAAATGGCAGCAGCGATTTTCAAGCTAAGAGGCTGAAACCACATGGGGAGGCAGAAATTCATGTGAAATTGGTCAGAGGCAGAAATAGTGCACCACCGGAAGGTGCAGGTGCACACAGGTAGAACTAAACTACACTGCTACTACACTGCTTCCCTTCACTGGTACACCTTCGGGTTGTTATTGCATGCTTTTGGAATCTGAAGACTGTTTGCGCATGTTTGCGTCCTGTGCCGTTACATTAAGCTTCTCCGAAAGAACTGGAGCCAGGGGGTTCGAAGCACAACCCACCGCGGAACACTGCTTCACATGCTTCGACAAAAGGGTTCGAGTCGACTGTCATGAGGGTTCGAAGACGGTCGAGAAGACGGTCGTGAGACGACGGGTCATCCAAGGTCGTCCGACCAAAGACAGGCGTGTTTCCACATTAATAGAAACAAGAAGCTACTAGTAACAAGTGCATCGCTTCTAGTAACAAGTGCCTTACTAGTAGGAACAAGAAGCTATTAGAAACAAGAAGCTTAAAAAACACCTCAAGATTTCGCACAGCAGGCGCAAAGAACCGCCATGCGTGCGACCCGCGGCCATGTGAGTCCTAATAAGGGTCTTGCAGCGGGGTATGCGGAGGATGATGCTGCCAGAGCCCTAGGCAAGACAGGCACTCTCTTGGCTTTGTGCCAACAAGTGCATTCTGGCTTCAAAGAAGAACTGAGTATGACAAAGGCTTTTGTTTCGTATCATCGGGTTCTCGTCATCTAAAGTCTGCTTCACTGAGGCTGAGCGGGCAGCAGATCAATTGAGTGCCTGGGATGCCAATACACGGCGCTTTGCACTCCAAAGCCTGGGACTCCTGGGGCCCAAAGCCTCGGATCACCTGCCGGAGATGGCGAAACTGCTGGAGGATGAGGAGCCGGAGGCCCTTCTCGCGTCGTTTCTCTGAAGGAGAACGGTTGGAATCGGTGCAACGCCAGTCTACGAGTGGAATGAGACCAAGCAGGACTTTTCATGTCAGAGTTCAGAGCCCTGACATGTGACACCACAGGATGACTTTGGCTCGACACATGTGGATGTGTTTGTTTGATGTTTTTGGGCTTGCGAGGTTCGCAAGGCTGCCGCCCAAGCCTGTGGCCGCGTGGGTGGTGGGGCCCGGGATTTGGCCATGGCTCTGAAGGATGCAGAGGTGCGGTGAAGGAAAGGAAGAGGAACGACTCCCCGATTCATTGCAGAGTCATACCTCAAGTTCATCCAAGTCACCGTCTGAGCATTGATCAAAATTCACTAAGGTCTAGGGTGTTCTCAGAGAAAGACATGGCCATGAGTCAAACCCGGGACCCTGGTTGACCTCCCAAAAAGAACAAACTGGACTGGAATGGACAGCCAGGGAGCTCAACCATCCCCACGTCTTGAGTGAAAACGGTGGCGGCACACTCTGTGGTCAGAATATGTCAGAATGCCCCAACAAAACTAACAAACAACGTGGTCGGGGACATCGTACATAGGCAACATACCCTCATCATCCCTCGTCTATTGATGGGACATACAGTAATTGAAGGCCTTTGCAAGGTATTTGAAAAAGAGTCGAAAGGCCTGTTTCATTCTACTAGTAACAAAGGGCATCGCTACTGATTAGTAGCAATGACATGCAATGACGCTATTAGTAGCTCCTGGCCTTACTACGAGTAGCAAGGACGCTGTTGTGGGTGTAGCTTCCACAGCCCGATCATCAGCTTCTCCCTTTTTCAGAGCCAGGCTGCTGTGCGGAGCGAAGCAGCCACAGCGCTGGGGCGATTAGGATCGCAGGTGCTCAGGATGTGTTTATTTTTTATTTTGTCCGGGGCAAATCAGCCAAACCCGCTAGAATCTACTAGGAACAAGGTGAATAGCTACTAGTAACAAGTGCATAGTAGCTAGAAGCTACTGCCAGTAACATCTACTAACAAGGGCATCGCTACTAGTAGCTTCTTGTTACTATATAGTAGTAATGCACTTGTTACTAGTAGCGATGCCATTGTTACTAGTAGCACACAGGCATTGTTTGCCCTTGAGGACTCTTTATATATACCGTGGTTTCAGAGTAGATGGCACAATCCTGAAAAGGATCCAAAAGGTGGAACATATGGACCCCTATATAAACGACATCTTTGAGGGTTTGTGCCATCTCTGAAACCACTGTAAGTGAATTCCAAATAGGCTGGGAACTACGGCACGATGCTTGGACTCTCTTTGGACTGACACTCTTTCCCATCGGCCAAGAGGAAAGTCTCCATGTTTGATTTGAGTCAATTGAAAAACATGAGACAAAGTCCAAGAGGAAATATGTTATTGACCATGTTTGTCCCAAGAGGAAAGTCAATTGAACACATATTTCTTGCAGTTCGATGATTCGTAAAGTCCTGTGAGCAGAGCGAACACTTTTTCTTCGGGCACCAGAAAATGGTACAACTCCCATGTAGTTGCCCGGTGGGATCTCATCAAGGTGAGATGTGCATGGGGAATCACGGCAAACCCAACCATACGACATCCATACAACCGTGACAAAGCAACGTGCATCTATCTCGAGCTTCTGGCTCATCTTCTTGGGTTTTCTGGCGAGGGGCATGGATTCATTCGGCCTTTTCCTCAAAGACCATGTGGGCTTGGAAGTCACTGCTGCTTGGTACAGCTGCAGCATTCCGCTATACTCCGGCCAACACCGATTGCTGGCACCGTGGAACGGAAGAAAGTTGCTGTGGGAGTGATGCGAAGCCAGGCTGCTGGGATGACTTTTGGAATCATGCGAGATGTTGTGTCTCATCAGCATGCAGTGCTGTATCTCATGTGGTTCCAAACGTTGGTCGACCAAAACCCGCTGTGTTTTTTGGAAACCGCTTTTCGGTGGTCAACCAGGGTCGGTTGTATCCCACAGCCGCAGGGATAGATGTCAGAAGATGTTTTATTTATTTTGATGTGGAAGCTCGGGTCCTGATGGAGGGAGGCATCTGACATTTTGACTTGGGAGGTGGGCTGTAGGTCGGGCTTTTGGGACGTTTCGACCAGGTCTCAACGAGATTGAGTTGCTTGAAGTCGCAGACGTCGATTGTTTGGGCCCCGTACAAGATGACATCCAAGAACTGGTTCTTGAGAAGCCATCAGAAGAACGGCCCTTTGTCTTTCTGTGGGACGAAAAAACAGGCGGAACAACTTTCAATGACTGGCTATTAGCGTCAGCTGCAAACCTGGGCCTCTTGAACTCGACGCACATCTCCGATTTTGGTTGGCCAAATGTAATTGGAACGCCATTCTTCTTGAAGACCTACGAGACCAAAAAACTGAAATCATTGCAGATCCTTTCTGCCACCGTGGACTGGAACATTTTTGCCGTTCTGGGCTGTGCTGCGCAACGTCGACCCAGCTGCTTCGTTCTGTTGCGGAACCCCATTGATCGCTTCCTGTCTTACTATTTGGAACGGTCCGACCGAAGCCTTGAAGGACTCCATCCGTAGCTTCTTGTTACTAGTAGTAGCGATGGCCTCCAACCTAGAAGCAATGGCCTCCAACCTTGAAGGAGGTGCTCTCCCCATCCGTCATTTGTTTGATCTCCCCATCGAAGACTTCGAAGACTACCTGGAGTCCATCCGCCATGACCGCTTTCGCTTCAGCGGCCGGGAGAGTGGACTCTTTTGCAATACTGAGAATGCTGAGCTGTGCTTAGAGACCTCAGAGGACCTTTTCGAGGCCGATCCGGGGCCGGAGACCTTTGCGTTCAGGACAGAAGATGAAGACTCTTAGGCAACGCTTTGACAAACAAAGTAGGCCAAATATGTCTATTTAAAAACTACAGTCTACTGTTGGAATATACCGAGTATACGGACATCTACTTTCGTCCAAGCGTGTGATTTGAACAGATCAGAGGACCTTCGGAGGACCTCAAAACCGCTTGGCCCGTATGTTGGATCCGCCCTTCGGTCGCCTTTCGGTGGCCTCACAGCGCCTAAGCCGCTGCGTCGTCAGCCTGCAGAATGAAGACTTTGAAAACCATCTGCGGGTTCTTCGAAGATTTCATCCCTGGATCAGCCAGGTGCACTTCGATGAAGCCAAGACTGCTTGGGTGGGGCAAAACAGCTACAACAGCAGGGAGTCGGCATTTCTGCGAGAGAACCTACCTGAGGCGTTTCGCCGTGCCATCGCACGCTTTAACTCTGTGGACATGGACTTGTACCAGCAGGGCCTCAATCAGTTTTATCGCCAGACTGCCACCGCCCGGGCCAGCATTCTCCCTGAAGCATGGCTTCGACCTCCGATCCTCCGGTTGGCGGAGAAGGACTGGGAGGTGACGTGGCCCTTCTTTCAGAAAGAGCTTCCCACCACCTTCTTCATTCGACGTTTGATGCGTTGCCGTATCACTCGCTTGGCTTCCCAATGTGGGAGGCTGGTCGGGGAAGTCCTGCCAGAGGGGGTGGATTTCCTACTGGCGCAGGACGGAAGACGAGAGCGAAGTGGCGAAGTGTTTTTCTTTGGACCAGGAGCAAGGACGCTACTAGGGGCTCCTGGCCTTACTACTAGGAGCAAGAAGCTACTAGGAACAAGGGCATCGCTACTATAGGAGCAAGGACGCACGAATTCTCACATAATTAGGCATGTGAGCGACTTGCAACTGTAGGGGGATGCGACCTGATCCCAAATTCTCAGGTCTCCGGGTCTCAAGACCGAGGAGCACTGAATTGCTAATCGAACACACTATAAATTCTTACCATTTCGTAGCAATGCTGACAGATGGGGGCGATTTGGGTAATTGGGGGTTGCAGTATGTTGCATGTTGTTGCACTAGGTTTGTCTACAATTGCAGACAGCATTGGTTTGTGCAATCGTTCAACCCTGTCGATCCCTTTGGAAGTGATTTTCCCAACTGGTGCAGGTTATCAGTATATAAAGATCACGATAGTTGATCCCACCAGAAACTCAGCTATATTATATACTTGAGGTGACACATGGGGACAACACCCTAAGACAAAATGACACAAACTCTCATTCATATGAGCTTACATAAGACATAAGAGTTTGCAAAGGTGAGGTGGTGATTGCGCTGTGGTGTAGTGCACCAATGCATGTGATGATCCAAGCGCTCCCGTGAAAAAGGAGCTGGTCGAGCACATAATCGGTGTTATCAACCATGAGTTCTACCAACATCATCCGGAAGACTTTTACCGGTGACTGGGCAGAAAGTGTTTTATTTTTTCAATATGTTTTTTGTTCTTCCATCCAAGAACTCGACAATTGATATAACAGTTATATAGAAGGCATGCGGGAATTGTATGGCCTCGGAGTCACATCATTCAAACGAGAAGATGGTACAGAGAAAAGTAACCGGTATCACATGACACATGGTGTTTTCGTTCTCCCCTCATGTCTCTCTCTCTCTCTCTCTCGCTAGCTTGCGCTAGCTCGCTCACTTCTGTTACACCGTGTATCACCCGTTGCATGCCCAGGATGCGCAGTCAGGACTGGGTGGCCCGGAACGGCAGAAGCGAGGTGCCTTACAAGGTCGTGGAATTGCCTAAATTTAATGAATTCCTTGAGACAGCTTGGGCAGATGCGCAAGAGGTCATTCGGAGCGAGGATGCCTGGAAAGAAAAGAGGCGCCAAAGGTTGGAGGGAAGTCCCCCGCTTTGACCTACTGTACCATCAAACTGCAACTGATAGATTTCACCAATCTAGACTTCGGGAGGGCATCATCAAGCTTTTCCATTCCACGGATGGGCACCATCGTGTTGTCCAGCTAACCCCGTCCTGGAGTCCTGGAGGGGCTTCGAACCACGGCAAATGGGTGTTGGAAGTTCACATTGCACAAGGGTGGCGGAGTGGCTTTACGACTATTGTTCCAGACGTTGTCGTGATCGCCAGGCCAAGCCACAGCTTGAACGCATTGTAGCTTTAGCCAAGGACCTGCTGCGTGATGGAAGAGAGGTTTCTTTGCACGAGTCAGATTAGGATAAGGCAAGTAGTGATTAGATTAGATCTACAGTATAACATAAATAAATGAGCACAGGCATGCGCAGGCTCTTTGGTCAGGCATGCGCAGGCTCTTTAGTAGCCAGGTCAAGGCCGAGCATGCTTGGTTATGGGAGTGTGGCGATTTGATGCCAAGTGTCAGGTGGATTAGGTTCTAGTAGCCAAAGTGGACAGTCGCATCAAGATGTGTCACAAAGCCATCCAACAGTTGAATTCAAGTGCCGCTTCTGCAGGATCCAGATCAAGACGCCGCTGCTGCAGCCGTCACCTGCCTTGCAAATATTGGCGAGGTCCGCACTGCATGTTTGGCAAAGAAGTTGTGAAGGCCATTTCTGTGATGACATTCAACCTAGATTGAAATGATATGACGCCATTAAAAGCCTCCCTGTCACACATGGAGCATACCTGCTTGGTAGCTGCTGCTTGGTGATCTCAAAGCAACTTGTGCACATGAAAGAGGTCCCCAGAATTCCCCCGTAGTGTGCCCCTAGTTAGTAGCTTCTTGTTCCCAGGAGCGATGCCAGGAGCCCCTTTCGTAGCGTCCGATCGCTCCTAGTAGTAAGGCCAGGAGCCCCTAGTAGCTTCTTGTTTCTAGTTGCTTCTTGTTCCTAGTACCAGATGTTCAACTTCAATTTTACCAGCCAAACCATGCGGCGATCAGACACGTCACCTGGTCACCAGGCTCAAGCGTTGGCGGCTTTCATGGACAGCCCCTTCCCCACGGTGCGGTCTGTTTATTTCATGACGGACTTGCAGGACTCAGAAGACGCAGTGGAGAGTTACGCGCATGATCTAGATCTGGATTCATGATCCACATTCATTGTCCAGCTGCCAGCTGTTGTTTTGTTGTTTTTTTGGTCAACCCCATTCCTTCCAGACTTCGTGGAGGACCGGAGCGACGTTGACAGAGACGACCACTCCAAAGTAGACTGACTGTGCTGTGCAGGTCGTTCGCGCAGCTGTGATGGAGGCACGGTCGGTTGTCAAGTTTTGTTTTTGAAGCAAGGAAGGTTTGCATTCGGTGGTGTTTGTCCAAGAGTGTTCAGGATTATTCAAGCAAGCTACAATCTCAAAAGAAGGCGCACGTTTTGGAGCCCGCGCCGCGCTGATTCGGGCTTCCAGTATCATTCTATCCAAGGGGGGACATGACAACATGGCCGACGGCAGCTGCCAGGAAAAGAGCCGACAAAATTCACTGCATGGTTGGGGCAATTGACCAAATTTAGCTATGGATTCTCATGTGCAGGGTAAAGGATGGGGGAAAGGATGGATATGAGCAGAAATGCCAGAGTCTTTTAGCGAAAATGATACCTGAGCCTTGATCCTGGTGCAATGGAGCGTGTTTTGCACGCCTTCCAAGAAGCAGGCCTGAGCCTTGTGAGCAGGGCCTACTTCCTACGAGTGCTTGGACGATTTGGAGACTTCGAGGTGGGAAAAGACTTTGAAGGGATCTTTGGGGGGATTCCTCATGATCCCTCCATGTGTTTTACACATGGATCAAATCAAATCCCAAGACTTCTTTTGAACCTTAGGAAGCTATGGCTTCCGCAGTCTGTGCACAAACACAGTTTTTACCTTCCTCCCTGCAGGTGCTCTTGGATGCGTATGGATCTAGCTCGACTTCGATCGACGTAGCCCACTTCTTGGAGTGGCTGAAACCGGAAGTGCCTCCACAGCTCCAGGCAAGCGCCGCGAGCGCCGCGAGCGCTTCGGCACTGGTGGAGGACTTGGCACGGCGCTCGGTGACGCTGCGGACACTGCTGAAGTTCCTGAGGAGCTTGCCGAAGACCATGCCACACTTCAATGTGGAACGCACGAGGACGGTGGATGTGGTTTGGCAGGTGATTATACCTGAGACTGCCACCAGAGGATGCTCCTATGCTGAGCTGCTGGAGTCTGAAAGGCGGTTACCTGACAAGATGATCTCTCACAACTGGGGAAATCTCTTTGCACATTTGATGGCTGCAGTCTTTGCAGATGCAGCAGGGAAGCCAAGCTTTAGTGCCATTTTATCATGGCTACAACTCGGTGCCAAAGGATTGGACATGATTGAAGCCTTGATTGAGGACCGGAAGCGTTTCGGATATCAACACTGGAAACTCGCAGGTCTCGCTAGTATTCACACACATATTGATAACTAAGAAACTTCAAAGACATACTAAAAGCTTCTTGTTACTACAACTGAAACAATTCCCAGTGAAACGATTCCGAAAGGAAGCTTCTAGTTGCTAGACTATTCATAGAACAATGGAATCATAACTCATAGTCGCAATCTGCTCAAATCGTGTCCATCAGGACGCGGGCCAGCTGGACAGCACACGTTGGCTGTGCATTTTCGCAGTGAACCAGCACATCTCAATTTGCGATTCAACCTGGGGATGCCGGGATTCTGTGACCAATGTGCCTTTCACAGGGTGTGGCTGCAAGAGGAGGAAGTTTCATTCTGGACCTCGCTGTGAAATGGACAAGTTCGATGCCATGATTACGCTCTTCAAACAGAAGAAGCCAGGCTACGAACACATCCTTGCTGTAGATTCCCAGGTCGGCCTCCTCAACAGGATGCTTGGTTGATCTTGGTGTTTGATGTTGTTGGGAGTCTGAAACAGGACTAAACAGCTGTTTTCAACTCAGTTCCTGCTATTTTCACCGGGACTACTTGAACGTGTTTGTAGCAGAAGACCTGGCAGGATTTGGGTGGTCGCAGAGGTGGCTGAGGTCTTCCGGCAGGAGTTGCCATGCAAGGTGGTGCTCCACCAGCCAAGCTCGGATCTTGAAGAGCTCCTCGGGATTTGCGGAAGATGTGGGATTCACCATGGGTTCAGCAAGATCAACGAACTCGCCAGCCAAGCTTGTGTAGAAGGGAACATGTTAAACTTCGAGATGACACCTCTCCAAGATCTGAGAATATTGTTTTCCGCTTTGATATGAACCATAGAAGAATCACCAAGGTGCAGGATGTTTCATCATTGATTTTCCGACTTGGAAAACGCTGAGGAGTTATTGAAAGGCTTTGAAAGGCATGTTTAGGATGTTGATCCATCCGTGCATCCCCCTCGTTTAGATTTGACTCATCCGACCCAGTTGGCCAACATGCGCAAGCGTCAGCCCTAGGAAGACCATGGCGCTCAACGTTTGGACTGCAGAGGCTAGTCGTCCTGAAGATGTCAGTATGATTCTGGATAAAATCGAAGACAAGGCGCGCTTATGAAGTTCAAACCAAGGTCATCCAACGAAGACACTTGAACATGGGTTTACCAAGAAACCTTGGGGGGGGGGGCAAACAAGGGCCCAGGTTCACAAGCCGAACGAACGGCAAACATGTCATTTAGCCTGGTTGAAGAAGCAGAGTGAACACCTCCACGACCTGAAACATCGGGCAGGACGTGTTCAACGAACGTACCAAAGCGGCATTGCTAGCTGTTGGGTACTTGGCCAGCCTGGAGGCACATGTGGAGATGAGAAACTTTCCAGCAGACTAGGAAGATTAGAGGCAAGACCTTGTGAACATGGACATTTCAGCTGGGGAAGGCAAGGACATTGGGTCGGAGAGGACTGTAGACTCTGATCATTTTATACTCATTCTTATCATCTCTTTCTCTTTGACTCAGAGTCGTCCACCATCGTACCTGATCGTACCCATATCATATGGTCATGTCATGTCATGTCATGTCATGTCATGTTGCTTTCAGTTTACATCAACTGCACGTCATTCGCAGCTGCTAATGATGATTAATGATGACATCTTTTTCCACTCAGGGACCCCTCACTGTGGACGAATTTGCACTCCAACTCATGTAGCTCTTTTGTCACAAGCCAAGGATATCATCTGCGTGGTATCTCGAGTGCTGAAGCAGACGCTGGGACTGGTGGGCCTGCAAAGCCTTGTGTTTCTGTTTTATTTATTTTTTTCGACAGGCAGTTGCATCCCCTAGTCACTGAAAAGTTGAGGGGGTGAACAGCAAAAGGGGTGACGTGGACCGCCCAAATATCCCAGAAATAACCACATTTTACCAGAAAACCGCACAGTTTGCAGAAGGTTTGATATCACCAAGTTGTTTGCCACCTGTTGTAGCCAAGAGTGGGTTGAAACATGTTAAACCGTGACATCTAAACCCAAGCTTTAAAAACAGACCAATGAGGATGTACTTGTTTTGTCACAATGCTCATGAGGTTGCAACAGTTTCGACTCTTCAGGTTGAGTCACCGTCGGATATCGTTGGAGTGATCGTTGGATATCGTTGGACTTGGATCACGCCCGGCCGAAGCCCGAAGCCAAAAGCTGGGCGTCCATGTGTAGTGGTGAACTGAACTCCGTTTGACTTCGTCCCAGCTGCAAAAAACAAGTACGAGCCACAACTTGAAGTGATGAATCCTCAGATTCACACGGTCCTCAGGTTTTGGTTTCGAACATGCTAGTAGCAAGCTACGGGAAGAAGCGCCAAATGATCAGGTTTTTTCATGCTTTTCGGACCGCAAAATGCCGTTCAAAGACGGCCGCTCTTCCAAGCAATGGTGCTTGGACATGGATTGCGGCAAACGAACGTCTGCAGTAGCTGCTTTGAGAGACAGCGGTCGTGCTGACAGTTCCTTTGCTGCACTTTGTTGGCTGCTCTGGCCACAATCTGGCCCAAATAAGATCACTAGCAGAGATACAGAACCCAAGGGGGGCCAAGAGGACCCAAGACACTCTGAGAAGGTTCCACCCTGCTTCCAAGGTGTTGCAACAAGTGGTGTGCAAATCAAGATGACCTTCAAGGAGCTCTTTGCTGCTTTAACACGAAAGCTAGCTGTGCTAGCTGGAGTTCTTCTTTGTTTTAGCAATATGTTGGGATAGGCTCCATGCCCTAAAGCTTGATGTTTCGCACGAATGAGGGTGGGCCCGGCTCCCCCGAGAGAGAGATGGACTGTTAGGAACTATGCGACAAAAGCTTCAAACAGCAGAATGGTAGGATAGACAACAACTAACCATCGAACCTAGCGAACCACGCCAACCCTGAGAACCCCGAGAACCCCGCCAACCCCGTGAACCCCGCCAACCTTGCCAACCCCGTGCCGAGAACCCCGCGAACCGCGCCAACCCCGGTGTCTTCCTCGATGTCTTCCTCATCCTCCTCCTCTCAATTCTATCGCATCATCATCATCAACATCATCATCATCATCGTCATCATCACCACCATCATCATCATCAGCATCATCTTCTTCCCTGCATCTTCGGAGAGTGTGATGCGGTTCCCAAGCAGAAGCTTGCAAACGGAGCTCATCCTCATCCTCATCATCATCATCAAAATCATCATCATGAACGTGATCCTGATCGTACCCCCATCGCGGTCCATGCCCAGTGCCAATAGTTTGCAGAAAACCCGCAAACATTTTACCTCCAGTTTCCCTGGCCTCAAGTATTTTTGCGCGAGGGGTTCTGGGGGCTTCGACCCCATCACGTTTCGACATTCTGATGAAACTCCACCGGTTACGGCTGCTGATCCAGTTGCCAACCCGATCGATCGTCAGGAGGAGAAGACCAAGAAAGCCGTCTACACTCTTCTTTCTCGAGTGTGGGAGAATGTCACGAAGAATTGGGATGCAAGCACTCTGGTTCCAGCAGCGGGCGGCTTGCCCAAGACGATTGCGAAGCAACACGATGTGGCAAAGCCCAAGATGATTGCAAAGCAACATGATGTAGCAAAGCCCAAGAAAGCGAAGAAAGTGAGCCTGAAGCAGAAGCAGATTCCCTCACTGCCAAACAGAGTGGAAGTGATGCAGCCTGAGCGAGGTCTGTGCTCTATGGCTGCAATGTGGCGCTCCGCACTTGAGAAGGACAGCTTCGTGGTAATCCGAGACCATTTGCCCGAAGACCGTCGCACCGCAGTCATGGACTGCATTGTGGCACACGTGCGGCGGTGGGTGCCGTCGGCAGGCGACATGAAGGAAAACAACGACGTTCTTCAGTCCTTGTCCGATGTTCCCTGTCAG